CTCTCTCTCTCTCTCTCTCTCTCTCTCTCTCTCTCTCTCTCTCTCTCTCTCTCTCTCTCTCTCCCTTTCTTTCATTTAACGGATCTGTGTGAAAAGGCACGATTCTAAAAAAAATATCTGTATTCACTGTACAATTAAAAATTTATATCGATCCGTTTCTAACTTGTAATTATCGTAAATACAACGCTCTAAAAAGTACTATTTCATTTTTTTCTTTCCGTATTTCGTACAATAATTATACGTAAATTCTGAAAATTGCATTTTCCCCTTATTCTCGTTTTAGAAATAAATTTTACTGTCATATTTTTCTTTTCCCAGTTTGTTTCCAAAATTTAATCCACAATAAAAAAATTTCATTGTCATTAAAAAAAAGAAACAAGGAAACGCATACGATAGAGATGCATGATGCCGCTAGAAAAATTAGTGTACTTCCAGAATTCTTGATTAAAAAAATATCTCCGCGTAGTGATGCGCGCATATACCCAGTTTTTGGAATGTTTCTGAATATAAAAACGGAAAATGAAAAAAGGAAAAATTCGAAGATACGTGAACTTGATGAGGGTGCGGTGGTAAGTGTCCGTTTTGTGCATTTTACGTAATCTGCGAGAGAACAGATAAGGTGAAGTGCTATCGCAAAAAATAAATTGTATTCACACGTGTATGTTTCTACACCGTAGACAATCTTCGCATGTGTTTCGAATAAACATCTCCCTTTTTGAATCTCTGAATTGCTTCTCTCAATAAATCGTCCTGGAAGTAGTGCATCCTCTCTTCTCTCTTTCAAACATTTTCCCTCTCTCTCACTCTCGCTTCCCTTTTCTTCCTCTCTCTCTCCCCCCCTTCTCCCTCTCTTTCGTTCTTGCTGTATATTATTATTATTTACTATTATTTCCTCGGGAAGAATTCTTCTTTGTATATTTCTGAGCATTACTTTTTCTTCTTCTTTCCTCGTTTTTCTTTATAGTTAACACATCCACACGTACATTCTCTCTCTTTCACTCTCACTCATTAAAATACTTATCCATACTGTCGAGCTCTCGAGATTAGATTCGATTAGCTTCTGTCATCTGTCCGTAGTAAACATAATACCTAAAGTTACATCATGGAAGCCTATTAGCTTGACACTAAATTGTTCTTCGTAAATAACTTGGTTTTTTCGTTACTGTCGTATATGATGTTTCTTTCTCTCTTTTTCTCTCTCCCTCTCTCTGTATGTGTGTATATGAGAGTGTACGTGTTACCATCACGTAGCTTTAATGGAGCCATAACTAGTATGGAAGCACGTGCCATTTCACGCGGACGACACGTAATCGTTTTCGTACTTATCTTCCTGTACTTCTTTCAATTAATCTTTCTCTCGCTCTCGCTCATTTCCTCTCGCTCTTACACATTCTCTCAACATTCACTCTGCCTACTCGTTGCAAAATATCATCTACTTTCCTCTATTTACTGTTGGATAAAACGTATAAAAACGCTGGCAAGTCAATTTATCGTGAGGAAGAATCTTATTCGTTACGTAATGTAGTTTTTGTTTCAAATCTATTCTTCTTAGTGTAATCCGCTTTCGTATTTGTTGCCCTCCTTCTGCGCATATCTTCATAAGTCAATCAGTAAGCCTTTCCAAATTCACGTAACCCTTAGCGCGATCGTACATCTGCAACCGAAAAATCCCTTTATTGTCCGTTTGTCGTCTTACTGTGAGCTAAGGTATTTGTAGTTAGCCACAGTATTGCATCGCAAGGCATAAGAAGAAAAAAGAATTCTGACCTATTATAAACCGTGGCCTACTTAGGCTGTTGAGCCTGGTACTGCTGATAGGAGTCGTCGGGGGACGCTGCGTTACTCGTCTGCTCCGACTCGCCCAGTGGCATGGTGTGAATAATGCTAGGAGCGGGATAAGTTGTGTAAGGATAAGGATGCGGGCTCGCTATGTACTGAAAAGAAGAAATAAAAAGACAGTTAATTATCATTTGTCATTGTTGGCTCAAATCAATTCGTTTTAGAAATACAAATGTCCGAGAAACTTCTCAACTTCTGGAGTCTCTTCATCAACTCCAAACAATTTTTGCATCTTTAACACATTCTAAATATCGGAATATTTAAAACATTCTGAAGCGTCAAAGTCATTCTATATATTGTACATTAAAATTGTTTTATTTTGTTATAAATAACTTCAATGTCAATTTTTTTTAATGTCCTTCGGAGATTTGTGTCAAGCTGTTAAAAAATCGAAAAAAAAAAAACTTACGGAACCAGTGCCAAGATGCAAGGTAGACATTTGCGTGGTAAGCTGAGGAATCATACTGTATTGTGGATTACTAGGATCAGCCGATGGTATCATCTGTAACAGAGACCAACAAAATCCGACGATGAAGCAGAAGCAATGATAAATTCTATGATGTTACGATGAGAAAACATTCAAAAAATATAAAAAAATTGGTAATAAAGCAAAATAATGTAAAACATAAATCGGACGCGGTAAACAAAAACAGTACATGTCCAAAAACATGGTTTGACAATTGAGTAATTTCGTAAACATACGAATGTTTTATTTAAAGAATAATTGTTTCTACCAGTAGTTGTGAAAACAATGAATAAGTGCAATTCTATTTTAAAGGCGAAAGCATTAGTTTAGTTCAAATATTTTATATTTCAATTTGAATATTAAATCTACAGTTTGTCGTGTTCGATTACGTATGTATACAAAATTACAAATTCTTGAATCAAAATTCGATACAAAGGCATTCTCCTCTACCTTAAGTGCAAAACAATGAAAACAAAATGAACGAAAATTGTATAAAAACTCACGTCGACCTGTTGCATATGTGGCGGGGAAGGGTGCACGAGGTAAGGAGCCACCCAAGGAGTGCCCGGCACACTGTAACCAGGCAATGCCTGACTGTAGTGACGACTGTACTGTGTAAGAGCTGTCGTGGGAAGCATGTGAGTCGTAGCAACGCCGTTCTGACCAACACCACTCGTGTCGTAGTTCAAAGTCATATTCTGAAAAAGAACATGAAAATAATAAAAATTAGCATTGGCAGCACATCCTCGATCATAAAATGATTACTTATAAAGTTTTTTGAGATTTGTTTCTAAGATATATAAATATTTTTGAGATATAATATAAAGAATTAAATTTGTATTTGAGCCAAAAAATTTTATATATCAAATATTTAGTATATATCACTCTTGGTGTAACATAATTTATATAACCTGTCTGTGTTTACTATTTAAGAAAATAAAAATATAAGTATATTAAGTTGCCTATTAATCTAATCAACATACGTGACATTTGTAAATATTTTATAATTATAATTACGTACCTCTCCAGTCTCTCTCCATATTGTACTCTTAAACAACGATTTCTTTTTGTTTCCGCCATCAGCGAACTTAACTAATAATGGATCCTTTGCGCCTGTTAGTGCCTTTCCATTAAACATTTGTATAATTTGTTCACATTTCTCTTTGGATTCCATTCTGTAATGCAGTTGTAAAAACACCAAATTATTCGTAAGTTGTAATGTATTAACAATAATAAATGATTTATTAAGATCGTATATGTGAATACACAACAAGTGAGAATATTAAAATCTAGAACGGTTACAGCTGGATTTTTAATGCTTAAATGCCTTAAATAATTCAATGTGAATTATATATATATATACATACTATATATGTACATGCATATACACCATATTGTAGTCATTCGAACTGCGCGCCGAATTGATTTTCCGAACTTATAAACGCAATTGAACTACTGTAATAATATCACAAATTAAATTAAATTGACAAGCAAATTTTAATTTGATGCTCAATCCGATATCATATATTAGAAAAATGTACTGAAAAACTAAATAAATTTATTGCAAAAAATATTATCTTGGCCGAGAGTCGAACCGGAATCTTTTGTATTCTGTACGAGTGTCCTGAGCTTTTAGACTACCGAGGCATATATAATTCACATTGAATTATTTAAGCATTAAAAATCCAGCTTCGACCGTTATAGATGTTAATATTTTTACTTGTTTAGTAATGTATTATTTGATATCAAAAGAGTCATAGCAAAATGATTTAAAATACGATTCACATCTCAAAAAAGACAAAAGAGGTACTTATCACAGATTTCATGCGAACCTTGCGAAGCGAATCTGAGGCACCAGGTGGCTCGATGCTCGGTCCGCGGACTTAATAATCCGTGGATCCGGGTTCGATCCCATCGGCGCCTCATATACGCAGTAATTTTTCCTGCGTAATTTAAGGAGCAAGAAGCTCGCTCCATCTGTAAATCTACAAGTTAAATGCTAGTACAGAAAAGATCGTGATTTCTGTACAAAAGTGTGTCTTCTGCTCCCCGAGGAGGATATGCGCAAATTTATCGTCGCATGGTACTGTGACAGTAACTTATATGTATAATGAAGAAAGAAAAAGTAGAACCTTGCGAATCCAACTCCTTTGCTCTGGCCGGAAGTGTCGCGCAGGATACGGGTAGAGATAACTTGTCCGTATTGAGCGAGTAATGCTTCGACGTCGTTCTCTTTAAAGGTCAGCGGCAGGTTGGCGATGTACAGATTAGTGGGATCCTGCTCCTGTTGCTGGGAAGAGAGTAAAAATACTATGCAATTACATATAACAGGGCGACATAATGGATATATTGATTTCCAGACAATTCTGAAGCGGATTATCATTTTAACTTCCACGACTGTCGTTTCTATCGCCGCTCTCTGTGGGTTCGATCGATCAGAAATTGATGCACAGGCAAGACGAGACGATAATGCACAAATTCGAAACCGATTAAACACGTTTGCAAAATCTGTCCAATTATTTCAACACCATTATTACATTGTACCGTTTATTACTTTCATTGTCATCATATATATAAGCGCAGAGTTATAAAAAAATATTAAGAATAATCTGGTGACAAATGAGTATGTTGCGACTGCGCAATTTTTTTGCTTAGTCTGGAACGTTAAAATGATATTCGCGAGTTTATCGAATGACGACTGAAATAATAATAACACATGGAAAGGTATTTTTTCAAATGTTATTCTCAAAATAGCAACGAGATGTTTCTAACCGCGATAACGCGGACACGTGCGAAAAAATGAATCCAAATTCCGTACGCGTGAAAAGTATCGCTAGCCTCGTCGTAAATAGCACAACGTAAAACGTTTCTACCAACATTGACACTACGAGGAGACCATTAAGCAGTAATCGCCGTCTAAATTTCGAAGAGTGCAAAAATAGGGAACGAATGGGTACCGAATACCGGTATCGGAACGTGGAACCGACTGGACGATTATTTAGTCTCAATGTCGGAAGGTAATCATGCTTCATGGCAATTACGTTACCACATTCTTGGTGGCTCTCTAAATTTGCTTGCTTCTAGGGATGCATTCGATTCATCTCTTTCGACTAACGTACTTCTACCTCTAAAAAGACGGCTTTTCGTTTTCCGCAGAAGAACATGCTATATAACGCGAGTAGGTATTAAATTATAATCCATATACACATACACATTACTGTACACGTTAAAATTCCTCGTAAAAATTCGGATTTTTATCAAAAAATCGTGTCGTTTCTTTATGGTTTAGATTAAAAGTCCCAAGAAGTAGACACGACAGAGATAAGAGGAAATGCACGTAAATAAAATCAGACGTAAAAGTAGTCCGAACGAGGATGTAGTACAAAACGAATAAAAGGATTAAACAGGAATATATAAAGGTATCGAATGTAATAAGATACAATGTACAAATATGAAAAGAAATACAGATTATAGGAACTCTCTACTGCGGTTCTTTCTACCAAGATTCTGTTAATAGATTTTCTATTTAATTCATATACAGGATAACGAGACAAATACGTCACCTATGCATACACTTTGTCGCGTTTTTTTTCCCTTGTAAGACAGAATTGGACAAATTTTCCCGTGTATTGTGCACGTGAGGTGAAATTTGATGCGAAACGCTCGTTTGCGCAATGATAATCGTCTCGAGTTACCGTGGCGTTTCAAAATTTCGTGACGTACGTAACCGATACACATTATAAATTTATCACAGAGCGTCCGTAGAAAAAAAATTAAAGATACGCGGCCAAATTTCTACACACCGGCAGCATTAAAAAAGAAAATAATCGAGAATAGTACCTATATACGAATAACGTACATCTATCTTCACGTTTCTAATGTTATTTACATGTGTCGAAAATCGTCCTCATCGTTTTTTTACAAATAACCATTCAAAGCGGTAATAAAGAATAGGGTCAAGTAACATGTGACATTTCATTGGAAACAGAAAGAGAGAAAGAGAGAGAAAGAGAGAAAGATATAGAGAAAGAGAAGCATGATAAAGAAAAGCACAGGCATTTTTACGTATACATATATATATACATACATATATGTATATACAGTTATATATTGTATATGAGTAACGAACGAATGTGGAGAAAGAGAGCAACTCTTAACGAGTATAGTGTCGCACAAAACACATAATATATGTGAAGTATATGGACGTACATATACATGTGTTCATGCTCCGATTTTCTGTTTATTATGAGTTTCACAGGAGAGTATAAGATAAATAGAACAAAGGAAGAAAAGGAGGGAAAAGAAAAGGAAAAAAAAAAGAAATGAAGAGAATGCAGATAAAAGTAAAAACGTATGCGTGTCTGAAGACTGATGAGATATTATGCACCCTCAAGCATATTTCGAGATCCACCACTTTTGTCAACGAACCAATCAAAAGTATTCTACGATTACTTGAGTATATACTTATACTTTACGACAATTTACTTCAATCTTGCGAATGCATTAAAACAAAAAAACAAATAATGAAAATATCATGATAATATAAGCCAAGCTGATGGCATTTTAATATATATGTATATACATACATACATACATACATACATACATACATATATATGTATATATACATACATACATATGTATACGTGCATGGATATATCCACGTGCACATATGTATGAGGATTGCCATGGAATGAGACAGTATCGATTATTAACAAAGCGGAGCTTATTTGTTTTTCGAGTAAATGCGTGCAGATTCCAAGTCCATCGACTTTCCATTTCCATCGATAGTTTCAATCGCACCGTCTTCCATTCCGCGACATCCTGGTATATATCAGATACAGTAGGAACTTGATTATATCGAATACTATTTGACCAAACGTTTGATAATTCGAATAATACAGAGAAAATATGTAAATGTCCGAACGGACGCGTTTTCTCGCAAAAACGATCGTCCAGATAATCATTGACCGTTTCTCACACCATTCAAATGATCAAATACTCGGTTAAATGATATTCGAATAATCGAGTTCTGTTGCATTATGTCTTAATTGTACTTTTTATATTCCGATAGAACAGTTTACAAATTCGTAAAAAATACGACCTATGCTATCGGGAACTTTTCTATAAGATTCAACAGCTTGATTTATAATTGACATTTTCTCTCGAGTAGTTTTGTTCATTTTATTTGATTCCGATTGTTTCTTTTACTCCATTATCTACGGCTCTCTGTAATCCTCTGTAATCAACATCATTTTATATTTATATGGTTATTATTTGTGAGATTTACATAAAATAAATCGATTCTGTGATCGACTCTTTGATCTCTTTTTTTATGTAGTACAAGTAATGTTTAATTACCAAACTTGAGGTCCCGTTTTTTCTGAATCTTAAGACTGGCTCCCGAATGCACTTCGCAACCTGTAGGTGTGTATTTGATTAAAGTGTGTGATTAATGTTTCATTATATATTTGTATATAAGAGAAGTAAGACAAGTGTACGTGTAAATCCGACCCAACCAACACCCCTCGAGGAAAGACAACGCCTATATCCGAACAAAACCGCATAACCATACGATTATAGGATTTACCGACAAATTACGGTACTGTTTCGCTTTTAGTTATATCATATCGCATGCGATTGACATCATCATTATCATTATTTTACACAGCTGCTGGTCATCACACCCCGTGCTTTTTACCACGGTCAGCTTAAAGGAACTATTCCATTGGAGTTAGTCGTACAAGGACAAATAGTACAAACAGGCGGGAGGCCGATACTCTCTCGTTCGGCAGTGTGTGCTTTTTCTTTACTTATAGTTGTCTCGAGCAGGATTTAATGCAAGAGAACGTAAGACTGAGACGACTGTCGCAAAGCAGAGTCAGGCGAAATGCAATCGAATCTTTGATCAGCTAATAAAATTAAATCAGCATAAGTATTATCAAGTAAATAATCGCGAATCATATCATCATTTTTTATCAAGAAAAAGAAATAGACGATCACACCGCCGAACACTGCTATCGAGTCGACATTGACAAATTTAATCTGATATTACGGTTTGAGGTAATTACTCTTTTTCTTTAAACTGCTAATGTTACACGGAAACATAATAAACGTTACACAATATATTGATGTTACTATGCTAGAGCTACTACTGATACGTCGCTTATGCTGCCATACTTCAATATAACATTTTTCTTTTTTCTTTTGTTTTGTTGTCAAATCATTTAGCGAGCAAAGTCAAGCTCCAAGGGCGGTATTCATAGATGGAAATAATCTCATAAAATATTTCTTGTCTCTAATAGCAAACATATTTATAACTATACACACAGATTTAAACTTATAAATCCCTACGCTGAGTTAAATTTCATGAATTATTATTTAAACAATCGTAATTATTAACTGAGCCACTCAGTCTCTTGTTTATTATATATTAATCATTGATTCAGTAAATAAGCTTCAAGTAATTAATTAGATTGCTTTGACATCTGCCAAACTATAATACAATTATAAATACTATTTTTCATAATATATCAGTATTATCATTGATTATACATATAAGTTACAAAAAAAAAACAGATATCGACATAATAGGAAAAAATGTTACATTAAATATATTGTTCTATGTATAATTAACGGTTGAATCATTTATCAATTATTTGACGATATAATTTATATCATTTATCTATAAATTGAAGAATATTTGAAGTCTATAAGATTCTAAAAAATAAATATTATATAATTAGAAATTCATGAAATCACAATCCTATATTAAATAATGACTATGAATACGACCTTACATGGATATCGACAGGTTATTGAATTTCCTTTGAGAGATTCGAAATTAATGCTGAAATTCGCAGAATGCAATTCTCATGACATGACGATTGTAGACATAATGTCGACATAGCATAGTATCGGCTGTATTTGTGGCCGAGGTATAGCAGCAAGCACCGATAAAGGTCTGGTAGGTAAGGTACGTAAGACAGAATAACAGACAAAGTATCAGAGAAAATTTCTAGATAAATGAAAAAGGCAGAGAGAAACAGAGACAGATTCTCGATGGAAAAAATATTACAGTCCCCGATATATAGAAAAATACACGCACAGAAAGATATTTATTGGAAATATATGCTTGTCGTTATAGAAAATATAAATTTTCTACCAAATTAATTGTATGTATTGAATGCATGATTTATGATTGTTTTTTTACAATTTCTATTGGATACTTTGGATTCTCTGAAATAACACAACTCTCGCAAAATTTAAATTTTATTAAATTTGGACGGAAACAGATGAAATCGTAATATCAACAAAATAATCGATGAAAAAAACATTTCATCTACATAATAAGATATTTTTTTTATTTATAATAAATCTTGTAGAGTATATACGTAGTAAAAACTGAATAAAGTTTATTAATATAAGCAAGCCGATACCCTGTCGTGCACGAAAACTTAACTTAAAAAATTACTCTTTAATAAACGAGAGTTTATTAAAATAGTAATATAAAGTAATCAAAAATTTAAAAATTATACATATATATGTAAATTGCAATTGATAGAAATACGCTAATATTTAAATAACACTTGTTTCGAACACTACAAGCACTAGAAGAGAAATCGATGTCGAAAAAGCGTCTTGTTTCATACCCGGAAATAGCGTGAGAAGATCATTCTTAATAGACTCTCCGACGAAACGGCTTCACAAATAAAACGGGGCGTCGAGAAGATGAACGAAGAAACAGATGGACAATATAACAGAATGACAAAACAGGATAAAAAATGATACAGATAATAGAAAGAGAGAAAAAGAAAGAGAAGAGTGAAAGAGACAGAGAGAAAGAGAGAGAAAGAGAGAGAGGTTTACTGTTACTTTGGTATTACTCTGTACTTGCATGCACAACCACGTACACTGTCCAGTCTACGGAGCAACCAGATACCCACTTTCGCCATCTGCGCTTGGATGCCCTTGGCGACCAGTGCTTTCACAGCACCCTCTGCCGCCATCGGTGACTCGAAGTCTACAAATCCGTAACCTACAACACAATCACGACGGTATAAACCCCCGCTGACAATTTTATTATGCATAAAAAATTGTAAAAGAGAATATTTTGTCTATTACATGTATTTATTACGATTTGAATAGAAATTTTCTATAAAAGTTCGCATAACGCTCATTGAAAGAGTTACAAGATAAACATTTTGAAACAACAAACTTCATATGTGAATTATATGAATATGTATATGTGTATATATATATATATAAATATAAATCCAAGAAATTAAAAAATACTAAGGGCGTGCATTAATTACCTTTACATTTGTTTGTATTTTTGTCTAAAATCGCCTTGGTGGAAGTTATAGTTCCGTACCTGCAAAAATATTGAGTTTTGGTCTGACGTATTTGCATTAATTTACACTTATAACTGTGCAATTTCAAAAAGTAATAAATTATTAATATGACTACTATAAACTAATATAATTGTTAATAAGCAATAGTTTTATATACGATTTCAATTTCTATCTATAAGTATATTACGATAAATAACATTAATTTTATTTGGGATGCTAGATAGCTTCCAGCTAGCAGTTCCGGAACAATCATTTATCAATCAGATCCGGATTTCAATTCCCAAAATTGCTATCTGGCATATATGACATTAAGAACTTTGAATAAAAAATTTTGACTCGTAGAGTACGACATAAATATCAAAAGAAATTCATAATATTTATGTAATTAATCATGATATACAAATATCTACGATCACGTGTATAACGTTACTTACTGAGAACACATGTTAACGAGGTCTTTGTCAGTCGTATTCTGGTTGAGGCCACGGATGTATAGATTCGTTTTAGACAGCTGCTCTGCTTGTTGACCCTGCATGGCATTGTTGCTGAGATTCGTGCTCATTGTCCCGCTTTGACTGCCGGTGGCACTACTGGAGCTGCTGTTAGTGTTTGCTGGGGATGAAGCTGTAGGCACCCGCTGTCCACCGTACTGTAAGCACCATCAATACTGTGCGATAACTGAAGATGTTCGAAAAGAGCTAAGAACAATTGATTTTACAGAGCCTATTGTTTTTATCGAATCGACTATCGGTCGATACATGTATTAACTTAAACTTGTGTTACAATAAGCTAAAGACACATAAAAAAACTTCAGTAGTAAGACGTAAAGAGAAAGAAAATCAACATTTCGCTACTACTTACCGTTATTATTGCCTTACATTTTCTACAGTGTGATTAACCAATTCGCTTATTGCTTACGTCTTATTGCATTATGTTTTTCTGTGTGCCAAGGACTAGTCTTTACACGAATTTAGCGTTCCACTATAAATCATATTATCATAACATAATGAATGACTTGCGTGCAATAAAAATATGAAATTAGTACTCTATAATCTTGGGACTATTATTTTCATATTTAAGTAGTAGGATTCGTTTTGAAATGAATTTTGATAAGCAAGAATTCCATATATTAAAAATAAAAGTGCTATTTTTTTTTATGTAAAAACGATTCCAAATTCCAAAGAAATAACATAAATTTGTAAATATAGCACGCGCAGAGCGTTAAACGCTTATCAAAGTGACCTACGTCTCGTTCCAGCTTTTGCGACTTTCCACTTGTCGCGCGACGGTCTCGTATTTATTGTCATGGACAAAGTCAAGAGAGAGATTGGAAAGTACAGTGAATGCGACTTACCGTCGCGTGTTGCGCGTATGTGGCGGTGACGAAGGGATTAACGG